TTACCTTTGGGAAAACAAAATCCAGAGCTTAGAACAACACGGTTCAAACCACTGGGCATCAACAACAATGAAATGAACTTTCTCCTCTTTTTAAAACATTTTACTGCACCAGAGGCCTTTGACAGTCACCACACAGGAAATGGGCAGAGAGGAGAAAGAAACCCGAGTCTGCTGCACTGAGGATTGTTGTCTCAGCACCATGGAGCGCATCCTGTAAACCTTTGACCTGGAAAGATGAAGACAAATTTCAGTACAAAAAAATAAATAAATAAAATAATCAGTTGCAAAATGTTTGACATGTAACAATCAGAAAGGTCCAACAACAAAAACATCATCAAGACTAAAACAGATCTAAAAGAGTGATTTGTCATAAAACGATATGACGTAGATATCCCAAGATATGTACAACCTGGGACAAAAAGTCCTTATGTTATGATCTAACCTTAATATTTGTAATATTAAGGTTGGACTAAAATGCAGACAGAGGTTTGGAATAATCTAAGGGATTCATTATATAAACAGAAACTGAACAACTTATAGGTCGTAAGCAGCGACACAGCAGGGGAAACGTAGTTAGTGACCAGATGTAACCATGGAAAGACCAAAGAACGACATACACAGAGAGGGACAGAGGTGGATAATGTCATGGTCAACAAGTGATAAGTCACACCAGTTACTGTCAGGATGAAGGAACTGAAGGAATAGAGACAAATGAACAAAGAGAATTTGTGAAACTAACAAGAAACAGACAGGAACACTAATCTCGAGACACAAAATCCAAAAGCACAAATGTAGATAAACTACGAGACCAAAAACACAAGGGAATGAGCAAGAGAGCGAGATCTAAGTAAATAAACAACAATGAAACGATCAAAATGGAAACACAAATGAGACCCAAAGCACAAACACCCAAGGATCATAACACCTTAATTAAGAAAGTTTCACTGGCAAGACTTAAGACTGAGGACCTCAACACAATTTAGCTATTGTGGTGAGTCTTGAAAACTGATGTTCACAAACACTTTCTACTCGGTCTGATGTGGCTTGAGCTGTTTTACAAAGAAGAATGGACAAAAACATTTGGTGTCTCGCTGTTCAAAACTGGTAGGGAAAACGCACACCAAATTCCTATAAAACTTGTAGCTGCAACTTGACAAAATGGCACATGCAAAGGCACTGCCTGTTGTAGATTATTGGTGACTTTGGCTTTGTCTCTCAGTTAAAGTCAAAACTTGTGAAGCTGACTTTGCTACAGTAAAGGATTCTTTGATCTTTTGGATATAGCTGTGGCGAAGACGGCCAGCCAACCAGCCATCGCTGAGGCCCTGCGATACCGGAAGCTGGCGGTCTGGGACGGCTTCGTTTGCCACTCTGCTCTGAGGCTAAATATACGATGATAAAAAGGCTGGCAGATTTATTTCTGACTCATGCTTGTTGTCCTCTTCCATAGGAACAGAAAAGACAGAGCAAGAGACAGACGTCTCCAGAACACAGAGGAACATTAAGTGATAATTACAGAGAGATAGATGGCCATAGAAAGTCGAGGTTCACCCCCGTCTCTTGCTTTGCTCTTTCTGTCCCTCAGCCACCACAGAGAGTGGCGTCTCCGAGCTAAAGAGGGGCGCCCACTGTATTAGACTTGCAATGATTGGCTATGATTGCATTATTTCATCCTGTGAAGGATAAAAGGACAGCAACACATACTCCCCACATGCCTTTATACACCACTCAGTGATCAATGTCTCCTCAAAAACCAAACATGGGCCCCCTTTCTTGTTTTTTAAACATCCCTACACATGAAGCTATAAATGCTTCAAACTTAAACATTGTCTTTATCTTTTTCAACTGAGTGCTCTTAAGCACACAAGTATGCCCCTAAGCTCACATACACACACGCACGCACACGCAAAAACACACTCATGCTCCACCATGTACTCGACTTCACCACCAGTCTACCGCACTCCTCTCAAAGCTCTTTGATCCCCGGTCGAGGGTCCTCTCCGCGGTGCCTCCGTCTGAATTCCAGAGATTCTGGGATAATTCAAACGTTTCACGGCACATACTTGGTCCCCCCAGGAGACAGTGGCGGAGATGGAAAATGCCACCATGGTCCCCGGCTCACTCTCCCTCCATTGTCTCTAGTCTTTAATCAGGCCCTCTCTGCGGCTCCCGCTGCCACCGTGGTGTGTTGTCTCAGCCTGGGAAAATGCCGGCCTAAGTGGCTGTTATGAGCTGAGGCGCAGACCACAGGGACCCAGCGGAGTGCCGTTGGAGCCCTCTGTGCCAGCCGTGGGTCTCCGAGTGGCTAACGCACACAATGAGTGAGGTCCCGCGTTCAGAGGCGACCTTACATAACAGCAGTGATCGCTACATCTATTTACTTTTCTCGTCTGGCTTTCCATCGGTAAATCACGCGCCGTCATAATCACAGGCATGGGGCAAAGCCCGATCATAAATCGCCAATGTTATTTGTTCCTAAAGGGTTGCTGGGTGTAAACCGGCGTTAAACTGTCACCCGGATTGGTGGCATTGAAGGAGCTTCACGGTCTTGAGTGTGGAAGGCCTGCATGAGAGGGAGTTTCCTGCCATGAAGTCAACAAATGACCAAAACAAAAGGCCTTGTGTTCCCCTGAGGCGCAGTGAGAAGAAGAAGGTCAGCACCCAGAACTACCACAAAGCTTAACCTAATTAAGTTTCGTTTCGGGTTCTAGTCGTTGCACATGGGTCAACTGGCCCTTGATGACTTTGCGTCAAGTTTACAAGGCCTAAACCGAACCCCTGCTGGGCTATGGTACTTTATATTTAGCATGAATAAAGTATTTTTTTTCTTTTTGAGGTACCGTAAATTTTATTTTGCAAAAAAAAAAAAAAGAGAAAGAGAGAAGAGGCTCAAGTGTGGCGGTTCTGTGGTTCCATCAGGCCAACACGAAGCCTTTGTGTTCACGCTGTTTGCCATGGGAAAATATCTGAAACAAATAAGTTGCCTGGTCGGCACCCATCAGTGCAAAGAACACTTCTAAAAGCTGCGGATTGTGCATCGAGGGTGTGGTGCAGCTCTAAAGGAACTTCTTGTTTATCCCCGCTGCTTCTGAAAATGAGAAAGGAACTATTTTCTTTCCAAAATGGAAGGCAAATAAACAAGTATTCATGAGCAGACAATGAGGGCAGGCGGGTGTGCTGCTGCGGGCTCAAAGTGGTGCAAGAGGGAAAGGAGGCGATTATCATCCAGATCACTGGCAGGACGTTTTGTAACTTATACTGGCGGTGACAAAGACGAATAATGTTTTAGGGAGAATTTAGAGCTTTTTAAACGAATCGTCACATTTTTGCAAGGCTTTTGAAGTAAAAATGTATTTTCACTTAGAATACCTCGCAAAAGTATTTATACCCCTTGAATACATGTAAAATTCTCTACAATTACAACCACAAATTGTCATTTATTGGGAACTTATATGACAGATCTACTCAAAGCAATGCTTAATTATAAAGCAAAACGCAAGAAATTAACAGTTTTCAAAATTTATTTTACAAATAAAAATACGCATTATGCCTCCCAGTGCCAGTACTTTGGGGAACCAGCTTCCAAAACAATTACAACAATCTTGGCACTGGTTCTTAATTTGATTTAGGTCTGGACCTTGACTAGGCCATTCACATTTATGAATATGCTCCGGTTTGCCAGCTACTCCTTACCACAGCCTTACTTGTAAAATTTTTTTTAATCATGTGATTGAAATGGGGTATCCTGTAGGCACAATGCGACTAGTTGCAGTATTATGTGTTTAGTGTTTTTTTTTTATGTCTTTGATATCGCTCATTACCGGGTCGCTTTACCCGGTAATGAGCGCCTCGTTTCCATGTCCTCTACATGGCCTGCTGAAAACTTTAAATGAGACTTATTTTGGTGCTCTTACAGCAACTGTATTATCCAAATTTATGGAACCCACAACAAACAGTTTTCCTCTCGGCAGATTCTTGCACCTCAGCCATGAATTGGTGCAGGTCCCCAGAGTTACCGTGGACATCTTGGCTAATTCTCCAATTAATGCTCTCCTTGCCCGACCTGTCAGTTCGGTCGGGCAAACTAAACCGCTAAAAGACATGCAAATAGTGTGCATGTCTTTTAGCGGTTGCCTCACACTGGATGCTGCAGTCCTCTATGAGATGTTTGAAGTTTGGGATTATTGTTTTATAGCCTAATCCTGCTTTAAACTTCTTCTTGACTGTGTTCCCTTTTCTTTGTGGTTTTTGTTCTCTCATCTTCTCTAACAAACATAATAGCTGAATTTAGACTTGAATAAAATTACACAATTACAATTAACTGAAGGCAATAGAGTGCACTGGATTTTATTTAGTGGTGTTTAAGTAATCAAGGCTGAATTTACATGTTACACTTTCCTGTTTTTTATTTGAAAGAAAAAAAAATGTGGATAGGTATGCGCCATCTTCCTTCCTATTCACATTTTTGCACCAATTAATCCATATAGAAAGGATTTAAATTTTTATCTGTGAGAGCAACTCTGCATAGCCTACACATAAAGCTGAGTGCTAAATGCATTCTGGAAGAGAACAAAATACTGCAACACAGCATGTGAAGACAAGCATGTTTGTGATTGTTGCATTATCCAGTCACAGTGACATTTTTTGCAACATTTGTAAACATTTCAGAAACAAATACAATAGTGTTTAAAGTGTGTCCTTCATTTATGCCTTCTTTATCTCTGTTGTTTCTTCTTCTGTGTCATTTTCTTTCTTTTTTTTTCTGTGGGCAGCAGAAAAATCAGTTTAGCACCCAAAATTAATACAGGCAGTATTTTTCAATCACCAGCAAATACCGGAACAGCACTTTCCACACTTTCAGTCATTAGGGCCCTACGACACGGTGTGACGAAACGGACTCCGTGAGGACGTCCGTGACGTCACCAACGCCGTTTCACGTCCAACGCGAGGGAGAGACGCGGCGTTTGACTCTCGCTCGGTCCAATGATTGGACGAGGAAATTGTACGTAATTGTTTAACGAAAGCGGAAGTCTTTGCTTTTGTAGGGTATGGGACAATGAGTCCTGCAGGCTGCTGTCTTTCTTTCCCGAGTAGGTTTATAGAGTACTTCTGAGAACACAGGTAAGTCAGTCATGAAAGGGTTTATAGTATGAAACGCTTCGTTAAGGCCTGCTGCGTGACGCAGCTGTGTTGTGTCGCTCGACTAAGCATTAGCAGCTAGCTAGTGCTAGTCACGTTAGCAAACAGAGCAGAGCGTAAATCACTTCCTGTGTAGTTTTAAGTCATTCTAACAAAGCATTTGATCCCATTTTTACCCCCCGATAATCACCCGCAGGGTTTGTTTTTGTTCCTCCCACCTGCTAGAATCACGGAGAAGGAGAAACATGGAGGTTCCCTGTTATCTGCCCAAATTGCTGTTTGAGCTCAATGAGCAGCGAAAGCGAGACTTCTTCTGCGACTGCAGTATCCTGGTGGAGGGGCGTGTATTCAAAGCCCACCGTAACGTGCTGTTTGCTGGAAGCGGCTATTTCCGGGCTCTTTTGGTTCACTACCTGCAGGTGAGGATTACACTGCTTCTCTCTGTTCTCCATCAGACAGAAGCAGTGTTCTTACACATTTTGTGTAAGAATGTGCAGTGTTTTAGAGTAAATGCTTGGGTTAAAGTGTCATCTTCAAAACTCATGAAATATTTTAAGGAAGATTACAAATTAATCAATGTTTCAGTTATTATTTATCAAGGCAGCTGTAAGCAGGGCAGTTTTTGGTTTAGAAGTCTGTGTTTCAGCATTTTTGCAATTTTCTAAAAAAGTAAATAAATAAATTCCACATGAGAGGAGCATAAAACTGAATGCTGTTTCTTCATGTTTGATTTTTATTCTGGGGATGAAGAGTAGATTTTATCAAAAGACCTGAGTGATCTGGAAGGTTGACACAACAACAAGAGCACAGATCTTGTATGTATTTTGGCGCTAATCCATTCAGTGATTTATGAAATCAGTGTTTAAAGTCTTTTATCTGAGTTTCAAAGTATTTTGTCTGAGTTAAAGAGAGCCAGTTTAAGGACTCTACAACTGGGGTGACTTGCTCCATTTTCCTATTTTTAGTGAGAATGCGAGCGGCATTGATTCAACTGACTTTTTATACAGACTTTTAAAATACACTGTTGCCATTATCAATGTGACAAAATGACTCATTGATGAGTTTCTCTAGCTCTTGCTGGGACATTACTCCTTTGATCCTGGAAATGTTGTTCAGGTGATGGAAGTCTGACTTTGTAACTGTCTTTAGGTGTGTCTGAAAGTTATGGTCAGAGATTATAACAGCACCAAGATTTCAGATTCGACTGGTGGTGTTTAGCTGTAATAACTGAAGTTGACCCGTTGGGTCCAAAGTTAACTTCAGTTTTGTTTCCATTCAGCTGGAGAGATTTATCTTATTACTTGTTCTAATCTGAGCTAGCACAAGCATGTAGCTTTTAAAGAAACCCCAAAGGGCCCCAAAATGTAACCTTGGGATACCCCACCTGTGACTTCTGTCCGCTCTGACAAGAAGTTACTTATTGACACAAAGTTGTTTCTGTTCCTGCACCAGAGAGTCCTACCCAGCTCTCCAGTTGCTTAATCAGAATATCATTGTCAGTGTCAATAGTGTCGAATGTTGCTCTGAGATCCAAAAGTACTGGCACTGTGGTTCTGCCACAGTCCGTATGTCTTTGAACTCTTTGACAGGGGCAGTCTCAGTACTGTGGTGAGCTCTGAAACTGGACTGAAAGCTAGAAAACAAATCATACAGTTTTTTGCAGAAATACTTCTTTATCATTTTAAAATCAAAATGAAATCTGATTAAAAAAAAAATAATATGCCTAAATATAATTTGGGCATATTCAGTTAATTGTGGATGAATTTATCTACATGTTAAGTACATTGGTTAAATGTAATTGGTACATAACATTACACTGAAGGTTCAAGCTGTTACACAAAATCATTAACTGATGTTTCAGAACAGTTCAAAGCCATGTGTTTGCAGATTTCTAGTTTTAAATTTGGGAATGACTTTTCAGGACAGCGGACAGCGCTACAGCACAGCGTCGCTGGACATCGTGACAGCCGACGCCTTCTCTGTCATCCTCGACTTCCTCTATTCTGGCCGCTTGGCTCTTAACAGCAACAACGTGATTGAGGTGATGTCAGCGGCTAGCTATCTGCAGATGACAGAGCTCGTGAACTTCTGTAAAGAGTACATCCACTCATCTTTGGAGATTTGCAACAAGGATAAGGAGAGGACCACGAAGAAAGAGAACCAGAAGGACAATGAAGCAACTGGTCCCGCGGACAGCGGAACTCCTTCTGCATCCGTCGCTGGGGGCACAGGTGTTACAGGGACAAGTCCAGAGGCTGCAGAAGTAGATGGGGGGTCGGGTTTAGGTCCTGAGGAAGGGACTTCAACAAGTACCCCCTTGTCTACCGCAGTTGCCACCCCAGGAGGCTCAAGTAGAAACATTGACAGCGCTTACTCCTCTAGGGAGGGGTTTCCATCTGGGAGGGAAGACCAAAAGGGTCACATGGATCAGACTAATCTCTCATCCTCCTCATCTTCTGCTTTGACCCCAGAGTTGGTGAACCCTAAAATAGAGTATGACCCTGATGAGGAACTCATAGAGTCCCCCGACACCAAAGACCTTGCGCCATATCCTGGGTCCTCTCTGCATGGCACACACCATAGCAGGTTACTTCAAAGTCCCTCAGCCTCCAATGAGAGGTCCCCTTTAGGATACAGCCCTTCATTTAACACCCGACAGCTGATGGAGATTCTGTCCAGAGGTGAAGGCCCCCGAGGCCCCAGTCCTGTGGGGGACCGAGCAGGTCAGCGCTTCAACCAAGGACTTGGCAGCAGCACAGGAAGTAGCAGAATGGATGAAAGTTTGGGCTTTGTTGGGTCATCTATAATGGAGATCCAGTCTGATTGGCTCGGAGAGGACACAGGTAATTACATTCAGTCAGTTTTAACAGTCAATGAATGAGCTACAATAACCTAAGACCAAGTTAAATATAATAAATCAGAAAGCAGAAGATTTGTATGTATTCAGTTGTCGCCTTTCTTCCCCTGCAGGCGATGGCTTGGTCGTGCCAGTAAAACTCCACAAGTGCCCTTTCTGTCCATACACTGCCAAGCAGAAAGGAATCATGAAGAGACACATCCGCTGCCACACCGGAGAGAGGCCCTTCCCCTGTCCCATGTGTGGCAAGAGGTTCACACGACAGGAGCATCTCCGGACCCACGCCCTTAGTGTAAGAGTGAAGTGTGACCATCATGTTTTTTTTATGTACACCATTTTGTTAGTATGACTTGTCCTACAATCTTCAGTAATCATTTTAATGTTTTTTTTTTCCAATTAAATATAAAGCATCTCACAAATGTGACAACTTTTGGTATTTCATGGTGAGGCCTGTACAAACACCATGGGGTCTTGGTTTTGTGTGGGACTGTGGCTGAATGCAGTAATTCTGCCTGAAGTGATTACTGACAAACTCATGAGCCCAGCGATACCAATGCCCGCTCTTCTATGTATGGTTGAGTGTTCCTGTTTCTTACAAACTCTAATCCGAGTCAAAACAATGCCCACTGTGTGTCTGTCCATAGGTTCACAGGCACTACTGGCCAGTATCATGCAAGAGCTGCAGGCGAACGTTCACAGGGTCAAACGTCTCCCCGGGATTGAGGCGTTTCGGTATTTGCGACAGCTGCAACTGCGTGACCACCACTCATGAAGATTCTGCGCCCGCTGACCCGTCCAGCCAGCCAGAGCCCATGGTGCGTGCGGATGGGACCACAGACTGGTCAAGCTTTATGGACGATGTGGACGAGGTGGAGGTCGGCAGAGTGGAGGACTTGGTGGAGAAACAGATGCTGGAAAGACAGCTTGCTGAATGCTCTGATGTCAGTCATACACTGTGAATTTTACCATCAACGAGTAATAAAACATGGCCTCGTTGCACTTATTATTATTGCAAAATTATTTATTTATTCACTCACTCACTCATTTGTGTCCTGAATTTCCGGTCCAAAGCTGCCTGTCAACGTGTGTCAGTGATTAGCTAGTCGCAGGAAACCTGTCCGAAATCATGTGTAGCTGTAACTTTAAATTTCAAATGTGTACAGTGCCAACAAAGTATTCACGGCTGTTTGCTTTTTCAGAACCTTCTGGAACTTGAATAATTAAACACGATTTAAAATGGAGTTGGAGCGTGCGCCTGTGTCTGCCTTGTCATTATGGAGATTTGTTTGGCGCTTGATAGAAAAGGATCATTTCACAAATCTTGTTTAAAATTCAGCACATGGATGCTTTTTTTTGCATTGTACTTGGATGTTAAGAAATTTACATTTCTCTCTGAGTTGCTGTACAGAGAAATGGAAGATTTTGTTCTTGTCCAGTAGGATCGGGGTTGAGACGTCAATCATGAATTCAAATAAATAAATGTCTCTGAACACCTGGCGCCTCCGTTTGTGTGTACTGCACTGAAAATGGTGACAGTGATCAATAAGCATTTCTCCATCTGCATTCTTGAAGTTTACCAGGCTCGTGAAAGCGGAGGTGCCCACAGACGTGCTGCCATCTAGTGGCTAAAAACTCGCATTGTTAAAGTGCAGGTGTGTTGAGCAGGGAGACGAGAGGATTAAAATCGAAAATGTGCTTTAAAAACAGAAATATAGCAGTAGATCAATAACAAGTGGGTTGATTAATTTATCTGAGAACAATGGAAAACCAAATAAGCCCATAAAAAAACAGTTATTGTTTCCTGAAGCTCCGCGTGATTCCAGTCACGTGACGAGGAAACAAAACAGCAACAACAGACTCTTCCGGCAGATCCAAAGAACTTTAAATCAGTTACTTTAGGCCAACCGGTACCAGCTATGGCCGCCGTCTCCCTCCTGCTCCTCCTCGTCGCCTCGGCGTGTCCCGCGGCGGCTCGCTACACCGCGGACTGGACCAGTCTGGACGCCAGACCGCTGCCGTCGTGGTACGACGAAGCCAAGGTGGGAGTCTTTGTCCACTGGGGGGTGTTTTCGGTGCCGGGCTTCGGCAGCGAGTGGTTCTGGTGGCACTGGCAGGGCCAGCGGCCGCCCGACCCGCACTGTGTGGCCTACATGTCCGAGAACTACCCGCCCGGCTTCGGGTACCCGGATTTCGCCCCGCGGTTCCACGCACAGTTTTTCGACCCGGAGGAGTGGGCGGACGTCTTCAAAGCCTCCGGTGCAAAGTAAGGTGTTTATGCTCCATTTCCGGGTGGCGCCACATCTGTTCCGTGATAAACTACCCCTGCATTTTGTTAAGCTTGATGGATTTCATGAGTTTTTCTGCAGGGCATTGTTTTCACAGCGCTCTCTTTCCAGATATGTTGTCCTGACTTCCAAACATCATGAAGGATTCACTAACTGGGGGTCTCCTTACTCCTGGAACTGGAATTCTGTGGACAATGGTCCCAAAAGGGACTTGGTGAAAGACCTGGGAGATGCAGTTCGCAGCCGGTGAGTGAGCTCAAGGAAATATCTGCTAATTGTAGGTTCTGGTAAATGAGTGCAGCAGGAGTATAAAATGCAGCACAAAAACCACCTGAACCACTGCAGCTGTTAACTGAAAACACGTCTCATACGTGAAGGTAAAAAACAAGAGCTTCAAAGATTTGTCGTCTTGGTCACTCAGATCGCTGCACTATGGCCTCTACAACTCCTTGTATGAGTGGTTCAACCCGCTCTACCTGGAGGACAAGAAGAATGGATTCAAAACCCAACAGTTTGTGATGCGGAAACTACTTCCTGAACTCTATAACATTGTTGTAAGGTCAGTAAGTTTTAGTTTTTAAGTTTTAGTTACCTATCGCACCGCTTGTTGTTTTCAGTTCCTCTGTTATTGTTGCACAAACGACAGCCATGCCTTAGCTAAAGTTAGCTCGTTCTCAGTTATTGCACAACATGATGGTGTCAAATTTACCTTGCAGGTACAGACCTGAGGTCATCTGGTCCGATGGCGACTGGGAAGCACCAGACACCTACTGGAACTCCACTCAGTTTCTGGCGTGGCTCTACAACGACAGCCCTGTCAAAGTCAGTCTTTTTTATGATAGGGAAACACAAACTGTCTACACTTTGCTCTAAAGAGTTGCGCTAAACTAAAATAACCATTTACCTCATGTTCCTTGGTTTTAGGATACTATTGTGACCAATGACCGATGGGGGCAAGGCACTGCCTGCAAACATGGTGGCTTTTATAACTGCCAGGACAAATACACCCCAGGCCAGCTGCCCAAACACAAGTGGGAGAAATGTACATCTGTGGACACTTTATCGTGGGGTTACCGTCGAAACATGAAGCTCAAAGAACTGATGGATTTACCTGCCATTATTGACGTAAAGATACAAGATGACGTTCAGATTGCTGAAGATGCAGCCGCCTCATCTTCAGAACTGAATGCTTCTCATTTTCTTCACAGGATCTGGTCAGCACTGTGGCTCTAGGAGGTAATTATCTCCTCAATGTAGGTCCCACAGCCGACGGGACCATTCCCTGTGTGTTTGAGGAGAGGCTGAGGGGTGTTGGTGCCTGGCTGGAAACCAACGGAGAGGCCATCTACACCACCAAACCTTGGAGGGTCCAAATGGAAAACGGCACCGTGCCAGTGTGGTAAGAAAGCTGGAAAGTTGAATATTTAGGATCTGAGAGTTCATTGTTTGGTGTTTTCTCCTTCCATGCTACCAGAAACTCAGTATGAGTTTTGGCTTGATCTTGATGGCCATGATCTTGATGGTTGCTACTTTTCACGTCTTCTTCTAGGTATACCTCAAAAGGTGCCACAGTCTACGCTATAATAACAGCCAAACCCCCAACAACTACACTGAAGCTGTTGATCCCCCAAACATCAGCAGCAACTAAGGTAAATGGGATTATTAAGATTATGTGTTGCCATTTTGGATCAAGTACATGACCAAACCCACGATCAATAATGTAAAAGTGACAAATAGGAATCCGTTTCTTTTCTAGGTGACTCTCTTGGGTCGTCCGTCCTCCCTACCTTGGGCACCAGTCTACCCTAATGCAGGCCTCTCCATCCTTTTGCCTGAGCTACCTTTCACTCCTGGCCAAGCCTGGACACTCAAACTGGACAATGTCCAGTGAAATTTGAAGTTATAAAATATTTACCATGTAAGACAATGCATTCAATTCATGTTGTAATTTTTCACTTTGGAGGGATAATAGGATAACGCTTAAGGGAATTTTTTTAAATGTCTTTGATCATTCCTTTCCTGATCTGAAAACTTGTTTTTGGTTAATATATGACTGTGTCTCCATTTTTAAAAATGTTTTTGGTGAGTTTTTTATTACCAAAAACGAAAAGTGGCACTCCTGTTCAACATGTGGGGATTTCCAATTTTGTGGAAAATAAACACTCTCTGTGCTTTTTCTCTCGCAAACTTTGCACAGCAGTCCAGAAAAGATTCATCTGATTTGAACTACAGTTTGGGAGATTGGCATAACTACACAAAACTTACAGCAAACAGTCCATAGAAATGGTTCAAAGCCAACAAGGTGAAGACTCCAGCGCTTTCCAAGCTTCTCCTCTAGTCCAGTTGAGAATTTGGGGTCGGATGTAAAGAGATGCTCAAACTTAATCCCCAAGGATTCTCACAGAGCTTAAACTGCAGCTGCTGTGTCCAGATGAGCCAGTGTGTCTGAGACCATTAAGTGCATCTACTAAACACTGATCTGAATGTGAATATTTAGTCCTTTAGTCAGTTACATTATATGAATGTAACTGAAATTCAACTACATTTTGAAAACTGTGATTTTTCTTACATTTCCTGCCCAAAAACATGAATTATACTCACCACAATTTTATAAAAGCAGTTAAAAGGTTAAATGTCATGCAAGCAGAGGTTCTCATTTCACTGATATGTCCTCTCCACTTTTGCCCCAGATGAAACTTTTAATAAACTCAATGTTTGGAACTGAATCAAGCTCGGATATTCAAGCCAATGGAGGGGCCAGCTAGAATCCAGAAAATTAAGGAATTTATTAAGCTCATATTGAGAAGATTCCTTCAATCAAAACAACATTGCCCTTCCCCTGCCAAGAAGAATGTTATTGCTGCTTCATTTCACATTTTTTCAGAACATTCAAAGAGTAAACACACCAAAAAAGACAAAGGAGACGCAGCAATGCTCGTTTAACTCGCTAAAATAGCTTTATAATAATAATAATATTGATAGTAATAATATTAGCCATTAGAAAATGTTCAGACAATGTTGATAGTGTTACATTCTGTGTTGGGAGTAAACCACGTCACAGTGTGCCATCTCTCCGGGTTCGGCGCCATCAAACGTGCTTCGGTTTGGACACATTTAGACCCATAAAAACATGAGAGCAAGAAATAAACGTGTATGTACAGAACGGAAGGAGGAGAAAAAAAAAACTGAACTGGAGCATTGTTCACACTACTTCCCCCTGCCTTCAGACTGAATTCAGACAACACTTCCTGGTGCGTTCTTGTGCCACACATGTGGGTGACCACTTGGTGGCGTAACGACATTTACAGTCCGTTGTGACTCTATTGCTCTGCTGGAGTCATAGAAGAAGAACAAAACCCCAAAATTAACACTTGTATGTACAATATGCTGTCTTGGCACAGAGTTGATGATATATATAAAACGAGTGAACCCATGCTGAAACTCGCTCTAAATCAGAGTGGTCACCGATAACACAAGAAAGACGAGGAGGGAGTCGAGAACCAAGGGCTGTTGTTGCCTTTGCTACATTATAGAGTTGAGTAACGAGTGAAGTGTCTCCATCGTTTGATTTCCTCCTCTTGCTGGCACTGAGAGTTCAAAGTGGAGTAAAAACACACAAAGAAAGAGGTTCTATTGTTAGGACAGTCCGCTCCCAAAGCTTACTTCCTTCGGCAAATCCTCCCCTCTCGGGTGGAGTGTGCGTCATTGAGCCCAGGGGGGAGAGGAGGTGTCTTCCCAGAGTTAATCAACTTTCTCTTCTTCTGCTCCATCCCCTTTAATAGCAGCGATTTATTGAACAGAACATAGAATAAACTATATATTTATATATTTTTGTTGCTATACACGTGACTTGCCCTTGGTCAGCCTACAGAACATTTTACTCATAGCTATATTCAACAACACTGTATTAATAATGATCGTAATGGCACTAATTAAAACTTTTAATGACAGTAATCATATTAATTATATTCTAATAACAATAAATGCAATTTTAAGATAAGCAATGTCTATTGATAACAAGTATTTACACTTTGTAAACATGGCAAAGTTAGGGTATCGATATATATATATATATTTTGTTGATAATTACACAGTAATTGCTCAGTTGTCTCTTACCCTCGTGGTTAGCTGTGTGTGTCCTGTAAATCCACATTACAGCGTTAATACATATGCACACATGTACACGTACAAACAGAATTACACCTCAGTGCTAAAGGCACATTGGAGTTTCAGTTGAACATCTGCTCGAGTCTGACCTGTTCTGGAGCAACAGAGAAGGGGGGCGGGCGGAGTAAACCATAAGCAAGACCCACCAAGCACGTTTTATTATTAAAGAAGTTCGGCCACAGTGTGAATTAAAGCATTAAGTTTCTTATTAAATCAGAGTGATCCTAATTATGCTCGGTGATTTTCAGCAATAGCAACTGAAGACGTTTACGGTCTGTAATTAACTCCCTGCCCATGGTGCGGTCTGCCAATAACATGCCGAACACAAAGTTCTGCTTGCACACGCCGGAGTCACTGAAGATGATACTTATGTGCAATTATGGATGATTTTCTGACGTAGATAAGCACCTTCAGGATCCCCACATGTAATTTGAATATTAAACAAGTTTCCAGCCATGACTATGCATATGGGTGCCAGCAAAAATCAATGAATGAGAGAAATCTGAAATTCTAAAAGATGTGGAAATTTGACACTTGAATTGATTCTTCACTAATTATCAGTCATATTTTCTGTTGGTTGTCAATTACATTAACCCTCAAGGCTACAATTGCTAGCATTAGTCACCAGTGGTAGCAAAGTGCTTTCAAGTTCTGTAAAATGTAGATCTGATTAGGACCTCGCAATAGAGTTGACCGTGTTACAGTTGCAAGTCAGAAAGCTTTTCATGTTTGCTGTGTAATTACTGCCCAAACTACATTTAGATAATGACCCGCTTCGATAGTAAATGGGCTACAAAAGCTGCCCATATGCTATCATTAGCTGGTTACATAGTTGTCACAAGTTAATTGCTGGTTCGATACAGGACAGCGCTGGTTAAAAGTGGAATTTGTAGAGCATGCATCTAAAAAAATCAAACTTTACATTTCTTAAGCCTTCTAGCTCTTTGAACAGAACATTCAAAGAGTAAACACACCAAGCTAATTTTATATAAACGTTTGATAGTAAATAAATTATGCTTCATTAAAGTTTCGCTAAGGAAAGTCCATACCACAGATTTGTTAACGTAGCAAAGAAACAGACTGCTACTATTATACGTTTTTAACCCTTGGCAGCCATATTGAATATTAAATTGATCTGGGTGAGGAGGATCACTACTTTCCAGCTAACAAATCTGACTTCATTGGGTGTTCCAGTTGATTTTTCTTCTCCCCCACCCCTAATATAAGTTTTTAATATTTCTACTTTGGAGAACAAACAGAACTTTTTAAATCCTATGTGTTTCACTGAAAGCAATGCTACCACTAGCTTTAGCAACTCCCATCACAACATGTCCTGTTGATGACAGTTGGTTAAATGCAGTGATTGAAAACTAAGCATACTATTAGTTTATAAAACTTTCTTTTTGACAGTGAAGTCTCTTTAACTTAGCATGAACATGGTTAGCTAGCGCCCAGGGCTAGCTAGCCCCCGCCCCACCACAGACATACGTAAGCTAGCTTCAAACTCCAGAGCAGCTCTGCCTTACAGTAATGTCAACTAAAACTCAAATCTGCTGCTACCACAGGCCTCCAGCTTGGCTTTGTTCCAGAAGCACAGTATGCAGCACACCCACAAATCGGCTACAATTAAGCTGCTGCCTCTGCCGCCATGCAGACTCCCGCTGTTTCCTGGTCTTGGGGAAAGAAATGGCTAACAGTGAATCTGGGCTCAAGCAGCGAAGACAGTTTTTTTTCTCTTCCTTCTCCCCGTCTCGAGAATATTAGCGACACTCCTGCGAGGATAAACGTAGCCTCGTGTTATTAGGGTCTTACGGTGGGTTTAGGAAATCCCCTGAGGACAGAGGGACACTTGCTAAAAACTGAGGTACTCAGATTTGATCTGGCCATGTGGGAAGAAAGGCTTAAGATAGTTTGATTGCTGTGTTTTTGTCAGTGCTGAGATAGTGTTACAACACAACCAGGAACTGTGATGTGTACGATGCTGTTATGATAGATACGTCATATAGAACAAAATAAATAAATAAATAAATAAAATGGAAATCACAACCACAAAAACTGTGTTTGCTATGGACCTATTTCAAGGCAAGATGTGGCTGGTTGACGCCTCAACTTGCAGAACTTAGAGAGAAGAAAGTCAGCACGAATGAAAGCGTAGTCGTGGTTGCTACTGCGGATAAAAATCCAACAAAAGCCTCTTTAAACCCCAGTGTCCTCCAAGGGCAACTTGTGTGATCCAGAGACTTTGCCGCCCCCTCGCATGTAGGACTGAGGATCGTGAGGGTGGGGTCAAGAGTCCGTCACAGTGGCATAACAGTAGTAGAGCAGTTCTTTGTGCTTCGTTTGACGAGGGCCTGCGACAGGCACCGCTCGGATGTCATCAAGTTTTAGCGGTGTCGGACGCAGGAAGGGACGCAAAAAAAAAAAGAAGAGAGAAGGCGGCTTTGCAACTCGCGTTCCTCGTCGTTTTCAATGCCGGGGCACCTCGTTTGTACATGGAGGTTGTTAAGATTCACCTGCTGAAGTCCAAAAAGCAAAACACCGGTTGGTATTTCCAAGGATATCCGTATCATTGTCTCTAAAAGGACAGAATTGTACAAACGTGTGATTCGTCGAAATAACGGCATTGTAAAACCCCAGCAATTGCTTTTTTCACCCCTTGCGCCAGTCACACAGAAGAAAAAAGATTCGAAGGCTACAAAATACGTGTTTCTTCTCCAAAGTGAGACTCCGCTAAATTGTTCAGAGGAGGCCATCAGAAAGCATGCAGTGGTCCATATCGACAAAGTGTGCCAGAGTCGCGGGTGTGTATTGCAACATGAGGGAGATTCAGGAAGTCAAAAAAAAAAAAACTAATTCTCCAACAATACTCTGCAAATTTGATACATTTCTATATACATCTCCCTCTCTCTGTTCTCTCTCTATATATTTATGTATATATTCAAAGTGTAAACTGTGTTCAAAGGAAACCTCCACACATAGCTGGTTAGGCACATGTAGTTGGTTCTAAACAGGAGATACAGGGAGGAAAAGGGGGAAAGCAGTACAAGTTGTGAGAACCACACACAAATATTTAAGTAGGCCTAAGGAAGGCAACCACCATTCCTACCAGAGATACCCTGTGAACCTGACTCACAATTTCAAGATAATAAGAGCCGTTTGAAAGTCGTCTTCACATGGACTCAGTCTGGATATGCCACACAGCTATGATCTATCGTAACAATACTGCAGTGTTTCACATTTGATATATGATCTTTGTACATGGACTGTACTGGATAATCTCTACTGATCTAGAAATGTAGTTTATATTATAAAATATACATTTTCCAATAAAATATCCCACATTTCCAACATTTTCCAACCAAAATTAAAGGAAAGAAAGAACACTTCATGCTTACAAATTCTGACATTTCGTCGTCTCTCTCCTCCATACATTTGGACTCTTTAGTATTTACTGGGATTCACACAGACGTTCATATGCAGGTATTCAGGTGCATTCACACATGAACCAACAGTCGTAGAAAACACCAACACAAGAAGGACGCGTTTCTCATAAGAATCCTTCAAAAAATTTTAACTTTGTAAAATGATTTAGACCTGTGTCTGTAGGTAAATTAATGAAAAAAAAAACAACAAATAAAAAAAACACACAGAGCCTTGCAAAACCATTCATGCTTCCCTAACTTTTCCACATTTTGTCATGTCACAACCACAAACCTCAGTGAACTTCTGTGCTTTGGGGCTTTTATGCAACAGTTTTCACATTTATCAAGTTTTCACATAATAAATGTAAAAAAAAAAAAAAAAAAAAAGCAGAACGTCAAGCCGAGACACAGCCAAGAGGCTCCTGGCAGCTTTTGGGGATGAAAACCAGCAACTGAGTTGGGAGAAATTGACACCAAAAATAGAGGATTCAGCTGATACAGACGCATTTGAAACAAAAACAAGGAGTCCTGTTTTCTGTTTGACACAACCTGCATGTTCAATTCAGACCAGATGATGAGAAAATAGAACATTTTCTCTACAAATAAAACACTTCACTCTGGCGTGATGCTGGTTCATCACACAAACATGCTCTGAAGTTTGTGGTTGTAACTTGAAAAGAAGGTGAACAGGTTCACGGCGCCGTAGCTCCACACGTATCACATATTTCACATTCCCAGCACAGTTATAAAATACCGCTTTTTTTTTTGTTTGGTTTTTTTGGACATAATCCCAATCTGATTCGACTTGGTGATTCTTTGGAAGGATATTTTAAGGTCAGTTAGGCCTCGTTTTATCTGCCGGCAAAACGAAATTGTCCCTCGTTTGGCCAACGGCGTCAGGGAAACAAAATGAAGTTTGGTGATTAAAATCTTGCCAAAAAATCTGCTCTTCTGTTACATAAAAACCCATGTTTAGTTACGAATAAACACAATAGTAAAGTCTGTCCTAGCAATATTCAAAAGAAAGAAAAGGGTTTCGGAGGGGAAGACAGCAGTCCTGACCATTTCAATGACTGTTTCATTAAGGGGTTTTAATGGGGTGTTTACTTGTTCCTGAATAAGATATATAGAAACTGTAAAGACCACTGCTGTTGAAGCGGGGTTCTCTTTTGACCACTTGGCGGTGCTCTACACTCACAGTGTAAAAAAAAAGAAAAAGAGAAGGAGCATCTTCAAGTAAGTCCAGAAAAGCCACTGAAATAATTCCAAACCCTCCTCTTCTCAGTACTTGAGACTTCAGATCCTACATACACAAAGAGTTTGATTTTTTTCTTTTCTTCATGTTTTTTTTTTTTTTTTGTTGTCTGTGATGCTACACTGAAGAAGCTCCTTTTGGCAAACAACAACCGGAGAGCCTCGGTGTCCGACGCCGACGGACAGGTGGTTCGAAAGCATCGACAGAGCGAGACGTGAAATTGGTCTATATTCTGTGACTTGGTACCTGTGTGGACAGACGGGAAGAGGGACTAAGGACTCTGTTTGACATTTCCTCAGGGATGCTCAAGAAATCAATAGATCTCGGCTCGGCTGAGCTGTTATCGGCGAAAACCCGTAAGTGGGAGTCGGTTTCACTCCGAAAAGCGTTTGGGGGATGAGGGAGAGGAGGGGAGAACTTCCTCAGAGGTCTTCTGCCTGTTAAGCCCTTTTTTGTGCCAAGTGAACACGCACAGGCATGCTACTGTGTGAACCTCTGCTGCCTAGTTTTACAAAAGATTTCTGACTTGGTTTCAGCCAGAGTGATTATATATACGTATATATAAATAAATAAAAGAAATTCAGACTAAGAAGGAAGTATAAACGTCTTCAGCTAGATGCCGCTCAGGCTCCAGGCCTCTGCCTCGGTAAAGTGGTTTGAATTTCAAGACACTAAAATGGCTGTCATTGCTTGTTAGGTAATAATGTAGGATGACAGAAGTTGATGGAAAGTGCTAAAATTGCCGGTGGGTCGTAGCGTATAAACAGCAATGACTCGCAGGAGGTTGGGCGAGGGGGAAGCGAGTGCCGTCGCGGGTTCAGAGTCGAGTCTGGGCTTCGGGGATGTAGATCTCGATACTGTCGGCGCTCTCGGTGGCCGAGTTTTGCCTGAAGGAGGCGGTGCGCTTGGTCTGCAGCAGCCTCCTTCGCGCCTCTGTCCTCTGACGGTCTCCGAGGTCTAGAGACTTCTCCCTGATGGGGAGGGTGTGCCCTCCAACGCGGGGCACCACCAGCCCCGCCGGGCCTCCTCCGGCACTCCCGGAGACCCCGTCTCCCACGCTATCGGCCCGGAGGCTGCCGCTCACCCCGCCCGCCGGCTTCTTTGGTAGGGGCGGAGGAAGTTTCTTATCCTCCTGACCCGTTGAGGATGAGACATTGATATGAGATGCGGGAAAAGGACGGTGGATTTGTCATGTTAGGTGGTGGAAAAGACGGGGGGGTTTAGTGACGGAAAACCCATGCAATAAGAAACAAAACCCACAACAGAGGGAAAAATAAATAAAAAGTAACCAAACGCATTATGAGAAAGGAAAACAGCCCCAAAAAGGTATCGCAGCATGCATTAGTGTTGAGTTGTATGAAAGGAAATGGAAGGAGAGATACAGGGGAAAAGTGGAAAAAAAACGGAGAAAAGAGAGTTAGTTTTGGAAAATAATGCTTAAAGCTGTCTTTTTCTTGACAGAGTGCAAGAAAAGCAAAAAAGATCAAAACTCAAATATACATAAATTAAAATTAAATGCAAAATAAAACCCTATCAATTTGAACTTCCGCTGCCTCGCGGGCAAATCTGCTCCGCTCCTCTTGGTCTGTTCTGAGCGTTCGCGGCCGGCAAACGTTTGGAGGCCACAGCCATCTGCTCTACCCGGCGGCACAGAGCCATCTTAGCTCGGGGAGAATGCTGAAGGGAAACCAGGGTAGGCCGGACCCGCCGGTCCCTCACCTTCTTTTCGGGTGGGAGCCTCCACCCAGAGTCCTTGAGCTTCTGGAGGTCCTGAAACCTAACCCTTACGTCCTCTATGTTGAGCTGGAGCAGGTCCCAGAAAGACGCCAGGTCCTGCGACGTGGGCTGGGGGTAGGCGGACGGGTCCTGGGCCGGCAAGGAGACAGGATGGGACATTTGATGATGGGAAAAGTGAAACCTTTTGCTCGTACCTTTTATCGTGAATAAAGGTTAAGCCAAAAACTTCAACGAATTTGATTGGGATTTCATGCTAAGTACCATGAAATGGAAGGATATTGTTTTAGGGTGATGCACAATGTTAGACAAGAGTCAAAAATGTTAATGGTTGAGCTCATGCGACGAGAACTCCTTCCAAACTGTGAACTGGACATCTAACAACAATGGTTTTCCTCTTGCTGTTCTATCGAGGTCAGATTTATGAGGTGTGTTAATGGCACCCCCAGAAAGTTGTAGTAGCAGTGACCAAACCAGGCGAGACAAAAAACTGAGGTGGCACAACTGAAAAAAATAAAAACTACATAGATAGTAACATATAGAGGTGAAGTGTGATTTTGTATTCTACAGAAAATCTTTCCTACAACAACTCTGAAGAATCCCGATTTAATGAGTTAAAGCAACATTTAATTTGCCTTTGGGATCATTCAAGTATTTTTTTAAATAGAATTTTATGCATTTATTGGGTTTTACTTTCATGTCTTGATTGAAGAAGATGAAATGTACGTGTTTGTCTGGGGGTGCCTGTGTGGGCCAACGTTTCACAATGGGGCAACGGCCCCCCACAACCCCCCTTTTGGGGGCACCAATGGTGTGCTCAACAAATAGCTGCCCTGTCAAGAGATTCCATATTGCTTTCCTCCAATTTCACAGCAGCTGCTGTAATGTTGGTCTATCAAATAAAATGCCTCAAAACATTGAAGTTCAAGCTATAAAGTGACAGAGCATAAAAAGCCGAACAGTTGTGAATGCTTACTTTCCTGATGCAGAAATGTGCGAGGAAAGCTGCAGCCAAACATATCCAACTTGCATAGCATCACGCTTATCTGGAAATGTGTGTTGATGTGACTTTTCGTGCACACTTACAATACTTTGCTGACAGAGGCGGAAGAACTGCTGGACCTTTTGAGACATGAGCATCTGGGCGCTGCCAACTGCGCTTCGAATTAGCTCAAGAGCTAAGAGAGCGCGAGAGAGAGAGAGAGAGAGTGGAAATGTAGTTCAACAAAAACAGCAACAGCAAAATGGAAAATGGTTTTTCAACTCACCATCCTCTGGTAGCTCATTCTCCTCCGCCTCCCTCTCCATGTTCTGGCACCAGCCTTCCATCCTCTCCACCTCCGTCTGCAGCAGGCGCAGGAAGAACTCTCCGTCCCTCATGCAGGGCGAGGCCCGGCCCGAGTCGGGAAGGCTGCGCGGGCCTTCCAGGGACGGCGTGGCCGTCCAGGCGCGCTCCGCGGTGATGGGCAGAGGGGAGTGGGAGCGCGGCGGCAGGTGTGGGTGCTGATGGGGCCTTGTGTCGACTTGGCAAGCTTCGGCGGTGTAGTTGCCCTGAATGAGGTCCTGTGTGAGCAGAAGGGATACATTGCTTTTAGAAATGACACTCGAGTTAAAAAACATAAACCCCGGACCTCCCGGCAGGCCTACAACTCCAAATCGAGAGCATTGAAAATAAATAGATGAACTTTCCAGAACGACAAAGTGATGAACAGTTGCTGACACGGTTGGTGATTTGGATTAGCAACTGTGTGGCACAATAAAATCTGCCAATCTGCACCCACTGTGTGCAGCTGAGATTAGATTTATGGAAAACAATTTCACAATTTTAAAAGAGGGAATCCAAGTTACATTTACAGCTTAAACTGTACGGCTTGCCCTAATATATTCTTGCTCTTAGAATGAATGCAGAAAAAAAGAAAAACAATTAGTGGGAAATTTATATAGAAAAGATATTATAGGTTGACTATTTTTTCAACATGTACTTCATAAAAAAATACTAAATGGCTTCTTTCTTCAGAATGGAAATTTTGAAGTGGATAGAAAGAAATGAATAATTACAATTTGTGCATTTTGTAGCCATTTTCTGAGTAAAATAGTGAATAAATGTGCGTTTTCAGCACTTTATCGCCATCATTGACCTCTACAGACAAAAATATCTCAGAAAGATGATTTACAATCTATAATTTCTGACCTCTGATTGTAAAACCACAGCTGCATAATGTTAAGAAAACAATCAAACAGTGAACAGCTGGCTGTTTAATGTGTTTTTTCCAGCGATACTCAATTAGCTGCTGCTAATTTTGAATAAATTAGATTTAAATGTAATCTAATTAAATTGAGGAAATGTTCCGATGGCTATTCCAAAAGAAGAGCTTTAAGCAAATAGCTGCTGTATGTTTTTTGTAGACATGTTCAAGACGTGTAAGCTTTATTATCTAATTACAGCTGTAAATGTGTTTAATCTGGAATTTTAGAAATGCATAATTTTTAAAACCAAAGAAAAATAATTCAGTTTATTTTTCTTTTTGAAAAAGTTTTGCAAAAAACATAAAACATAATCTGGATTTATTTGAAAAGTTTTATTATTTCAATAATACTTATTTCGGTTTTACAGACTTTCCAAGCCTTTATTTCTGCTAATTATGCTGATTTTCTACATTCAGTTAATAAATATTCATTATTTAAGATTAGGATGTTAAATTACACCAATAAAACACATTTATAATGCTGAAATGCAAGCTTAATGAAGTTTGCAGGTTTTCTTCCCGCTCTGACCAGATTCACCGTCCCCATCAGTGCAAAATGCTTCAAGTGCTGTACAGCATGAAATGGCGTTTTTTTGGTATTCTGATTTTCATAACAGTCATCTTTTACATGAAGAGAAAAACTTCATTCATGATTTGACATGGTTTCATTTCTACATCATTGTTCTTCCTTTTACTCATCCACAAACACCAGATTTGAGAAGAACATGGTGTTCGGTTGTCATGTGGACAGATTCTCCTGCCCGTCTCTGGTTAACGCAGCCAGATTAACTGCATGTCTTGGTTGGTTTTCAGTTTCTTTTTTTTTTCCAATGACTGTTTAATAACTTACTTCCTCACGCTTTCCACTGCCCTCTCACATCCTGATAACATTCACTGAGAAAATGAGAAAGTTAAAAGGGTGCCATCATATCCGTGTGTTACTTCAGTATTGTATAGAATAGGATTAGGGCCACTGAAAAAATATTCATACTTTGAGAATTTTTTTTTTTTTACGAATTTCTCAGAATCTTGACTTATTTTCTCAGAATTCCCACTTTAACTGCAGAACTCTGACACAGTATTTCAGAAGATTAAAATCAGAATGAATCCCCCCCAGGTTCCCTCATCCCCTTTTGTGGTATTCTTTGGAAAGAACCATTCAAAGTGAAATCTGTATCTTCCACGAGGAAGACTCCTGGCAGTGACCCACCTCTCTGTACGCCCACTGGCCCTGCGTGTGGACGGTGCGGTGGCACTCTGTGTACTGCGACGCGGACTCCGGCTCTGACGAGTGCCTCTGGAAGGAGCAGCCAAACTGCAGACTCTTGTCCTGTGTTGGCACAGCCACGCTAAGCCCCAGGAAGCCCTCGGGGTCCAGGTCGGCCTGCACGCTCGCCGTCACGCTGTTGGAGCGTTTGAATCGAGCCCGCCTTGCAAAAAGACACAGAGAGTGACAGCGGGCTCAGAGCCGCCTGATCAAACTGAATCGCCGGTAGAAGGCTCTCCCGAGCAGGGCCTCGTTGTCACGGCAATCACCGCCGCTCGCCCGGCTGCGATGACTCCTGCTAAATCCCCTGGCATATGACGCATCGGTGCGTGCAAAATGTCACGCCAGTGCGCTCACTGATGAGTGTTTACACTGTTGCAACTTTAAACCCAACCTTCCCCTCATCTGTCTCCTCAGTCCGTCCGGGTCCGCGGCGCCGGATGTCCTGACGTCATCTTCGGCGATCGCGTTCACACGCGAGGACGCGTGTGATTAGGAAAAGCGCAGAGTCACACGCGAAAGCCATGTTGTGTGTACGGATTGCAGTAGGCGGGGGTCACAAACACGGTTTAAAAAAAAAAAAAAAAAAAAGGCATTCTTGGAACAAAGTGTTTCCGAGTTCAAGCTGTGCTGCTTGATGAAATCTTAAATGAATTAATTGGACATAGACGAGAAATCAGCCGTACACATGGCGACGCCGTCAGGCGCGCAGGAAGACGAGGGCTTTTTCTGAATATAAATCAGAATTATTCACATAAATTACAGCACAAAGACCAGCCGCTCCTGATCAAGCCGCATATTTTGGAACAAAGATAAATTAGCGGGTAAACAAACACTCCTCGAACCCCCACTCTGAGTTTGCGAGAGGCATCCGTGATGACGGAAACTTAAATGTCACCAAAACAAGTCAAGCTGTGAGAGAAAGTTCTGCAGATGAAGAATATTTTTTCGCTGCTTTTTTCTCCATTTTTTTCTTTTTCTTTTACCTTTTCTCGTCTTCCACTTGGACTCCTATGGAGTGAACCTCGGTGAGAGCTTTTCCCTCCGTATCGGAATCGGACAGAGTCTCTGAGCTGTCCACCTGGACAGAACGTGAGCCGCCAGAAGCAAAGGAAAAGTTAAATAACTGTTCTGGGAATTTTATCACAGAAATAAATGTAAAAAAACCAAGAAGCTCCAACTGCTATGGGTTAATCTATGAAAATAGATTTACATCGGCTGTCTGAGGAACTTGCTGGCTTGTGTTTCGAACGCGTTTGTTGTCAGAGTACAAATGTGTGATGCACCGGACCAAAAAACCCCCCGCAGGTTTCGGCTCGGATATTTTCACTCCAGACTCGGCTGGAATTCCTCGGAGGTGTTTTAGAAAAGATTCTGCAGCTTTGATTTTGACGATGCAGTATGTGCAAAAAATGACGCTTCCACCTACACTTTGTGTTCTTGCCAATGACGAGAATTGTTTGTCTATTTCTGTAATAATTTTGTCTTCTACTTTTCTTCTTTTGATTTTTTTCCATTATGTTTGCTTTTTCAGCATTGTGTTTTTTTATTGTGTAAGGAAAAGTAAAAAATGACCGGAATAAATAAAAAAATAAGATACAATTTTTGGAAATCTATCCGATTATCCAAGCGTTCAACTCCACAAATAGTAATTTATACATTTAGGTTGACTGCTAGTGGTATAGTAGTTCAGATTTAATGCTAGCATATTAGCATGAAAGCTTTATCATAAGAACATAGTAAAATAAACATTGTTGATCATGTTGAACTATAGTTTGCTTCTCTCTTTTATTTTTACATATTTGCTAAAACCAACACTATGTCCTGAGAGTACAATATGGGAAAGATAATTTGTGAAAAAAAATCAACAAGCTCCTCTGCCTTCTCGCTATGGACCTGCTGTTATTTACACAAATACACAGCTCTATCAGAAACAACCAATCAGAGCCAGAAGGAGGGTCTTAGCTCCGTCAATCAGCTCACATCCTTCTGCTACGCTAAAACTGGTTCAACACAAATTAGCCTGCAACGAATGCTAAGGCTAACAAGCATGCCCACTGATGGCTTTTCTGAGATGGTAAATTGTTTTTCCATCATTAGCACATAGAGCAGCGTACATGAGAATGATTGACAGCGCAAAGACACTCCTCCCGGCTCTGATTGGTTGTTTTTGGTGGAGGGGAGAAATTCTTCAGACTGCCACAGCAGTTCATGGAGGAGGTGAAGATCGATGCTTTCACATGACTCATATTGTCACAACATGCTGACACTTTAACAAATATGTAAATAAAACATTTAAAAAGAAAATAAAAGTTACATTCCCCAACCTTAAGGAATGAAAATAATCTACAAATTGAATCACCATTTGACAATTGCAGTTTTTTTTTTAACTGAGGTTTTCTTTGATGAGTTTTGTTAAGTGTGACCAAAAACATAAAAAGCAAACAAAAAGATTCATTAACGTGAAAGATATTTTTCACAACACCTGCACGGCGATGGACGGCCTCCACTTCCTGGCCCCGCGCCCGTCGTCCTGCCCGCCCATCTTACTCACGATCATGTTGTTCTGAGGAAGTGAGGACGACTTCCCCAGGCTGCCGCCGCCGACCCGGCCGTCCCGGTCCCTCGCCGGCCGTGGCGGCCCCTCCAGCAGGCTGTCGGCTGAGCAGCTGTGCTTTGCCCTGACTCCCACTCCGGGCCCCCCTCCGTAGGGCACCAGCTCCCTGGAACCCCTCACCCCGTCCAGGCTCTCTGCCGAGTTGCTGTGCTGGCGGGAGCGCCCGGCCCCGCCGGACGTGTAGTAGCCCCCCCGGGAGGCGCGTCCCGAGGGCCCCTCGGAGCCGCCGAGGTCTATGGAGTTGCTGTGCTGCTTGGGGCGCCCGGGGCCCGGAGCCATTTGTCCGCCGCTCTGGAAGTAGGCGTCCTGCGTGGACTCGGTGCTGCTCTGGGCGCGCACCGAGAGAGAAGACTTGGACATGCGAGGTGGGAGCGGTGGGGGAGCACCTTTACGGTAAGGAAAGACTGCAGTGTAAGAAGAGCGAGGGAAGAGAAGACAGAGGTGACAGAGGTTAAAGTAAACGACGTGAGAAGGGAGAAGAGCGGGCGGATACTTACAGAAGGGACAGACTAGAGGGGAGGAGAGGAATGTTATAGCAGGGGGGAAAAAATGGAGGAATTTTGACAAAAGAGAGAAGAGAGAATATGGAGAGCATTAAAAAAAGAGACCGTGCTGGAGTCTACTTGTTCATTGGGTAGTATTCCTTTTCATTAAAGAACAAGACACTTTTCTCTTTTATCAAAAGGCAGAGAGCAAAGCGATGGATATGTCAGATACAGCAAAGGTAACAACAGAAAAACCTCTTCTTCTGGGCCAACCTTTCTTCTAAAAGTTCAAGCAATTGCCTGAAACGGAAACAATCCACACTGCTTCCCTTTCTTCATTGCCCCTGGCGTCTGTGTGTGCAGCTTGTTTATTTCCACGGCGTGAGAGACACGAGCTGAAACGGAGGCGCCGGCGCAGCGCGTGAGCGTTTTCGCAGCGCTTTTAATAAATCTCGCGGGACTTACCGGGACGCTGGGAAATTCGAATCCTGCGAGGGTCTAAGCTGTCTGCGACAAACAAACAAACATTAGCGAACACACGCAGCTGACAAAAACCGGCAATTACCTGCGTAATGTATGCGCAAACAGGGCCTTCAGCTCCCCCTCTCCATTTTATCACATCGCAGTCACCAACGCGTTTCGTTGAGATCTGAGAACACAATGCAGCGCCGAACTGAAGTGGAAGGGGAATATTAATAGTATTAATATTAATATAATTCTATGGACCTGTCTCCAAAACAGGTACATGTTCTGGAGACGGTACACACAGCTCAAGCTAAATCAGCTGTGAACTCTGACCCTGTTTCATCATTTTAACTTTATTGAAGTCTGAACTGTATTTTTCAGCAAAAATATTCAGTTGTACATAACCAGCAGTTTCCCTGTCAACAGATTCGCTTTAATTATGGATATCAGATGTTTTGCTCCAGTTGCCATGGAGCTCCTGCTGCTCTCCTTGCTTTGCCTGTCACTTCGGTAGGAAGAGCACATCTTGGTAGGTTTGTGGTTGTAATATTATTTTACTCTTTCCATTTTCAGATGACACACTGGAAAGAGGGCGGCAACAGAATCAAGTCTTGGATTGAAACTTTTATTTGCTCCGACTGCGTCGGGGAATCACAGAATCAACGGCTGATAAAATTATTCTATTTTGATTTAAAAAAAGAGAAAAAAACTATGTTATGTTTTCTTCACTTTACAATTATGCACCACTTTTTGTTGCCCCTATGACATAAAGTAAACTTGAAGTCCATGGTGGTGGTTTAGTGGTAAAATGTAATAATTCAGTTTCGATGTGTCACAAATCACAACTTCGAGAAAACCGCGAAAACACAGACTTCCTTCAAATCGAGGCTAAAAATCCAGCCAACATGTTTGGAGCTGCTTTCGATTAATGATAACTCGAACACCAATTAACATATCTATGTGTTTTTCCCTGATTTTGACGACAGCATTTGACAAAATTGAACGTGTGTGGCTCGTTTCACAATGGGCGACTCTTCGTGATGCAAAAGCACTTCCAACTGCCTTGTTGCTGAAACGCGCTGCACAAATAAACTCGACTTATGAAGTAACAGCTGCATAGGTGGACTTTTGTGTTGAGCGAAAGGCTTGAAGATAAGATGTCGTCTTCTTCTCTTGACCAAGGAAGACAAGAAAGCGATAGAGACTAAAGCAACGGTCATAATAGCGAGAAACCTGCAGTCAGGCAAAGGGAGTGCGATGAGAGAAGAAAGAGCATGAGCAATAAGGCACATGCAAGTCTCTGCCTATAGCTTGCAAACGTACAGAGAGGGAGAGAAGGCTGAGTTAGAGGCAGAGAGAACGGAGATGCCAGGAGGCTAAAAATGAAAAAGTAAATAAATAGATGCACACAGTCCACTCACCGGCCCCGCCCTTGATGCTCCCCTGGGGGCCGGACATGGAGAAGACAGAGAGGCAGTCGTCGTCCTGGGAGCAGCCCGCCTGGATGGCGCGCACGTAGCTGTGGCTGCGGGTCCGGAACACGCCGGGGAGGTCCAGGGCCTCGACGGCCTGCGACTCCACCTCGCCGAACATGGTCTCACACACCGCCTCGAACTGATGGTTCAACGTGTCTCCCAGCTTATGTAAAATTTTAAAAAAATAGTGATAATTTGAATAATTGTGTGAGAAATGAACAAAAAGGGTTTGGTGTTCTTGGAACTGACCAATGGACTTCAGTTTTTTTTTTTTCAAGAACAAAAATCTGAAGTCTGCGGTTTATTCCGACACAATCCAATACAAACAACCCGCCTGCTTTTCAGCATAACTACAGTTGTTTGAGCCTCTTTAGGAACGTTACTTAAAATCTCTACTGAGAAGGATAATTATTAAAAAGTAATGATGCCTCTCTTCAGCAAGGACAGGAAAACTGCCCATAGCAGATGGAGCCAAATAAAGGGCCATTCAGGAAAAAAAAAACAAAAAACCTAAAGATATTTAAGTCTCATGCTGCAACCTAAGCAAATGTGGAAAAGGTTCAAAGGTATTCCGTATATGTTAGAATATTCCAGAATAACTGAAAGGCCGTGGATGATGGAGTCAGTCACCTGCGAGCTGGTCAGAGAGCGCGTGTAGCTGCGAGAGCGAGTGTGGGTTTTGGGTGCCGTTCTGTTGTTCGGGTAGGAATCTGTGCACTGCTTACAGGAGTACCTGAAACGCAGCAGAAAACAAACAAAAACAGCGTTATAGTGACCTCAACAGCACGGAGCTCAGACTCGTGCAAGTTTTATTTGCTCCAACACTGATGGAGCAAATAAAACTCCATCAGTGTCTGGCTGCGTTTATTGCGAACGTGGATCACAGCTCGGCTGGCCGCAGCCACCATAAATATTATGAGTCATGAAGCGTCAGTCATTCAGAGTGTTACGAAAATGCACCAGTTTGTCAAAGCGGGGCTCAAAACGCTAAACATCGAGTCGTTGGTGTAAATTCTGCTGAAACTCTGAATTGTTCACCGCATCCCGTTACTGAAACAGGAGAAGGTTGGATGGCAAAATGTGATTTCACCTGTGTACGCACTCAACTTCAAATATTAGGCACAAAAAAAAACAAAAACAAAGAAAGTGTTCAGCTGTATGGATGGAAATGTTTTGATATCGGAGGCAGATTGGTTTGAGATGACAAGCCGTGGTATTTTAAAGGTGACCCATTATGCAGGTAAGGATGGGTGTATGAGTCAAATATTCATTACATGTCTTTTTGGACAAAGTCAATGTTACATAAGATTTCAGTCTGCTCAGATCTGCCTAAGTTGAGCTTCTCTCAGGGTGTCCTGTTGCTTTAAATCTAAATAAACTGCTGCTGACCACGCCCCCTCCACCCCAACTCAACTTTTACACTCGCATGCAAAAATGGCTGCAACGGATACACAATTAGGTAACTGTACATCTTTGAAAAGCAGAAGTGGCACCTCCTGCACAACCAGAATGCAGCAAGTGTTTCCTGAATAAGCCGACGGCAAAACACCTGCCTTTTCCAGCAGCCAGGAAACGGCTGACACAGCAGTACAACCAGCTGACCCTTTGGTGATGTGGAGCTTGGGTCCTGCTGGTCAGTAAGACCCATTACACACAGTTCTCGAAGCAAAAAGACTTGCTATGATATCATTTTAATCAGCGCAAAATTTAAAGCAATAATTATTTTTTTTGCTAATGCTTCATTTAAACCAATTGAAAGCCTGGATGTGTCTGGCACAATCAGGGACATAAGTATGAGGCTGCTTGAGCTGAGGATTTAATTATGCCAATTAAAGTGTTTTAAGGTTTGCTAAAACATGGAAGATGCCTGAGCAAGAATGAGCTTTGTCTTTTCCCCAGGCTGGTCTCCTCCCTTCCATAGTCACGTTTTATCTTTTTGTAAATGTTCACCATCTGACAACATCAGTGTCTCTCTCTCTTCCAGGTTGTTTTTTTTTTTTTTTTGCAGGAAATGCAGCTTGTTCTGCCTCGCCTTTAAACCCAGACAGAGGGGTGGCTGGGGGGGAGCTGTGGGCTCTCTATCAGCGGTGACATACATGCAGTTCTTGTGGCACTTAACCTTTGATCCATGCTTATGGAGCGTCTGAAGGCGTCCCTCTGGGCGATCAGGGTGGATTTGGGCGAGGCTTTAGGGCTCGTCTCCGAGTCCGCGCTGTCGTCGTCGCCCATGGCCTTTATGTAGCTGCCGCTGCGCATCCGGCGGCACGGGATCTCACCGCCGCTGTCGGCCGATCCGCCGTAGCCGCCGCCCCCCCAGTCCTCTGAAGGGACCTGAAGCGCATCTAGTGTTAGTCGCACCCTCGCCACCAACATAACCAGACAGACGCACAACTTGGATTAGATGAGCAAAACCAAAAAGGTGTGATGAGTGTTCAAAGAAAAAAAAAGAGGTTTTATGGTACTTTTATTCATGTAGTAGTAGACAGGCTAAATGTGTTTACAGTAAGATCAGCTCTGCAAAATGAGATGTTAGGAGGGGAAGTGGGTGGAAACCAAACACCATTCATAAAATGAATTCATTAGTCGTGAGATATTGAACGTTTTGTCACAATATCTGTTAATACAGTCCAAAAGACAGAATTATATTTCTCTCTCGGGGAAAATATTTTGCACTCCGACCAGAAGGACAGCGATGACTCAGACACACAGTCCTTAGACCACGAGCACACAAACCGGCTGAGCTCCATCATGCTCGTGCACGTGGTGAGAACAACAACAACAACAAATAAAAAGACATGCACGTGCATGCGACGCAGACGCGCACACTTCAAAACGCTCACTGTCGATGGCACGAGAAGAAAGAGAGAAGCACACAAAGAAACTTACAGAGAGAGAGAAACTCTGACAGCTGGAGAAACACTGACACAAAGAAACGGGAAGAAAAGAAACAACAAAAAGCGTGAGCAAGAAGCCGACAGATGGAGAGCAAATAAACAAATGCGCAGAAAGGCACAGGGAAGTTAAAAAAAAAAAAGTTTTTTAAAAATCACAAAGGACAAGAAAATAGTGTGTGGAGGACGTGGCAAACAGAGTGAGCAGATAGCAAAACAGAAAACAGGAGAGCGAATTATCAATGGAGCGACAACAGGAAGTCAGGTGGGAAAACAAAATAAAAAAAAACACACAGGTAGACAGTTGAAGAACTGATATGCAGAAAAAAATGGTATGTTCACAGTGAAGCCTCTTTAAGCTGTATGAGTTTTATCACCTATAAATAAGTTTTATTTACATTATGAACTGCAATGTTAAAACTGTTGTTTGCTTCTTTGTAAAAAAAAACAAAAAAACAACAACAACAATTGTTGGAAATGGAAAAGTTCTATATAAGGTTTGGTTGAGTGGGTTTCATGACAGTTGCATTCATTTTTATGTGAAAAAAAACAAACAAAAAAGCAAAAATATCCAAGAACAAGAACTACCTTAATGCGTAACTCACCGGTCAAATTTAGGTATTCAAAAGTATGTTTTATATTACATAATTCTACCTGAAAGCTGTAGCTTGAGACCTACCAATCCGGCAACCCAGACAGGGATTCAAAAGCGTCCCCTCTATTTCTGTCTGCTGATGAATGACTATTTGTGATAAAATCAAAAATTCTGGCAGGATGAAAATCATTTAGCCACTTACCAAAAAATAAATAAATAAAATAAAAACATTTTTAAGCAATTTATTATACTTTTAAATCTTGGGTGGTTCTCTGGCTTTGACATATGTGTGCTCTCTAACAGTCACACAAATCTTCTAAAACATATGATTTTGAGAGGAAGGCTCAAAACATCCAGTTTTGTTTGTCAAAAATAAAATATTTTTTTGTTTACGTCAAAATAAACTAATTGTTGCTTACCAAATTACAAATTTAATCTTGTTGGTTCTTAACCTGTGAATTCACCTATAGATATGTAGAAATACAGTAAGTATATTAAGTGACCACACTTGCTGTCGTACATCTAAAACTATTAAGTACAAGAGGGTAAAATTACAAATAGTACCTTTTTTAATCTATAATTTACATTTTTATGTTAGCATCCAGCGTCACCAGAGTTTCCCTTTTCGTAACAGGACCGTTCGGTTTGGCATTCGTCTGTGTGAGTCCGTCTCTTTCACCTGATCCCGTCTTTTTCTAGGAAGATGAACGCCTGCTGCAGCCCCCTTACACAGAAGGGGCCTCTCAACCCGCCAGTATTTGCAAATGTTGTCAGGTTTGCAGTCCCCTACAAGTGTGGGGCCAAATGAAAAACACCTACACGCCGTGCTGAGACACTCATCGTCAGGGCCCCAGGGTTTGGCAACCAGCTGAGTGTGTGTTTTTAAGGTCATCACTTAAAAGATGATTCAGCCTAATCTCCAGATCCCTGTGGCAACCCTCCACTATCTCTCTTATTTCCACAACCTCCCTTCCTTCCTTTATCTCAGCCCCTTGGCCACCATAACCTCCTTTATCTATTTCCTATCCCTGAGCTTTTGCTATCTCTGCGTCCCTCTTGCTCTCTCTCACCTCGTCCGACTTCACTTCATTCTCGCTCCATATTCTCATTTTTTAATCATTTCTTATCTGTCGCTCGCAGGCTGACGACGGGGGAAGAGGGGCAGGGAGCGACAAGTGTCGGGCTCGCATGCCACACATTTTGATTGGCGTGTGCGCTGCGGGTGAGGAACTTTACACACCTCTATCCTTCTTAGACGGCTGTAATCTAAAACTTGCCAAGATTCTCTTTGTCTTGTTCAGCATTTCCGGCTGGACCCCCGACCCATGATCCAGGGTTGAGATGCACCGACACGATATTAATATTGGTATCAGTCCTGATACTAATATCAGATTGTTGGCAATGTGCCTCATCTATAGGGACAGATCTATTCAGACTAATTGTTCTCTGTCCAGATTTGGGTTGACTACCCCAGAATAGTACTCAAGTAAAAGTAGCACTACTTCAGTATATTTTTACTCAAATAATAAAAATATGCTGCATCCAAAAAATTGCTCAAGGGTAAAAATGCATTTGGTAAAAAGGCGACTCACGTAATGAGTATCTGATCAAATAATAAAACATTTCAGATTTAAAATTCACACAATCACACGGAACCAAAATATGAAGTCAAGTGGAGATTTTGGTATTTTAAGGACCAAAATGACAGTAATTCATCTCGGCAACAAAAAATACCAAAATCGGACAGAGGAAATTTGACCAAATCAGTTTCTTCCAATATAAAACTTGAAAAGTGAAAAGTTCAGCATTGTACAAACACACATAATTCACGTTTTTAAATAGTGTTACTCTAGTGAACTCAATTGAGTAATTGTGATCATTTACTCCTTGACTCTGGCTCTTAGCAACTTCATTATGATTTATATTGCATTGTATTTATAATTCCTAATTGTATTTTCTGAACCATTTGAAGGACGTTTTGTTGCAGTTTATGTTTATATCAACCTGATGTTTCTGTCAGTTTCAGTTTCTTTTTTATTACTTCACATTGGTTGCTGTGCTTCTAATGACACCGGCTGAACAAATTAAAGTTGTGTTGTTTTTTTTGTGGCCAAGCATGTGAAGCTATTGGTGCATCCAGCAGTGCTGTACTGGTGCAGTTATCAAATAAATGTGTAATTCAGCACATTCATGTCTTGACCTTTAAAGAAAAAGAAACGTTTTCAGTGAACTCAGCTCCATTATTCTGTGTTGGATCGGTATCGGCCGATACTGTACCACAGATATCTGTATCGGTGTTGAAAGTGAAAAAAGTGGGTCGGTGAATCGCTAATCCAAGGTGAAACCTGGTATTTGTGTAGGCCGACATGAAATGCAACAACTTGACTGAGAGGAGAGAATGCATCCACAGATTAGGATCGGCAAACGACAGCAACACAAACTCTTGTTCACATCTCAGAAATCAAAAAGTGCATCCACAGAAACAGAAGGCTGCTTTCATAAATCAAATCCACGCAGGTCTGCAGTTAACTACTCTTCTGCTTCTGCGAACATGCAATCAGTTTTTTCCTGGGAACTACACAACAAAGACGCATGCAGCACAAAAGCCTGGAAGACACGCACAGGCACGCATGTCTACGATGCAGCAGAGGAGACAAAATTAAGAGCAATGACGAGCTGGCAGGTAGCTAATAGTCCGCTGACAGGAAACGAGAAGGTGTGCACTAATTCATCTACTGCATCAGTTCCTGCTTTGAATGCAGATTAAGCAACATTAGAGGCACATTAGCAAGAGTATACAGTAGGTGTCTGATGACTTGATGATTGTCATTATCTATATCTGCACCTTTGAGCGAACCCTTATGTTGGATGGGAGCGATCCTCATTTGTTGCCTTTCTGGTAAATGTGTTCTGAGTCTTAAAGTAGTTTAATCTTTTATTGCAGTTATATAATCTTTAAAAAAAATATTTTTTTGAAAAATCCAATTTGAGCGCGCTTGTTTGTGTGTGGGACAAATTTCCATGATGAGAAATAATTGGTTGTTTACAGAATCTCCTCTAACAATCCTTATGAAACAAAATACAGGTTTAGTTAGTAATCCATGTCTTCTTGCTACAATGATGTCTAAACATAAAGTGACAAGGGTCAGTTTTACTTAGCAACTCCTTTGAAATGGGAAAGACGAGAGGGCATGCAACTCAAGTAAGTCTGATGTGTTTTTCACAAGTCACAGAACGACTACAGATGTTCAGAGTAATAGGTCTTTAAAGTGTATCTGGGTCAAACGAGTAAGATAAGGCTCCAACTCTTCCTTGTGACTATGAAACACACAAAGTTGTTGGAAACTATTAGAAAACTGCCGTTATGTTTTCGGTTTGAGATGCAGTTGAAACATAGGCTAAATTGAACAAATTTGTACGCACTGAAGGATTTGCAATCAATGTGGAGTGTGTTGTACTTCAAATATTTGGTTGGTGTCTCAAAAACTAAGCGGTTGAGGTCAAATATTTTGTTTTTGGGCAATTGGTGTCATCGCTCATACAAATAGACGTATTTCCCAATTTTTAAAGCCACTTGTGCTGCTTTCACATGTAAAGTATGCTTCTTGCTATGTTGCCTCGAATGCACATCAAGCTCATATGTCAAATCACAGATAACCGGTTGATTTTTATCTGCTGGAGACAAGAAACCAACATTCTTTACAATTCAAATAATACAGGAATTACAGCTCATACCAAATGAGAACAACCGTCTTGTCCAAAAGCAGATCTCAGCAGTTCTATGCGTGGAGTTCAACAACATCTGAACACAACACAGAGCTCAGCGGATGCACTGCCTCCTCACTTTTCCCCCCCCCCTCCCCAACACTGCCGAGACAGCGACACCCGGAGACAAGAAAACCTGCAGCAAGGGAAGTTTTCTCTGTGACCTGAGGTGCGAAGGCGACGGGCAGCCTCAAGAACGGAGGCAAATAGTGTGAGGTTTATCCTTTCACAACGGCAACTCGCATGACCTCGCTCTCCCTTCTATCGGCAAACCTCAGCTGTCTGTGAAGGATGAGAGTTGGAAAAGCACCAGGACTACCTGTGACTACCTGCTGTTTCCGTAGAAACACAGCCCTGCACGGCAGCTCCAGCTCGGCACAGCTGGAGGCTGATGCGCACGCGCGCGTGCGTTTGCAATTCTCCCTCTTTCTGTGCTCACTCTGCTGCCTTTTCAGCTGCGCTGCAGCAATTACACGTAATATTTTCGGAGGCCTGCGTCCGCCGGAGAAGCAGAAGGGCGTCCGTTCTTTTCCGTTTGGGAGCATCAAGAGTGGCGGTAGATGCTCCACTCGATTGTTTGGGAAGAAAGGTGGATCAACAATTTCTAGCGGTGAAATAGCAAGGAAGTCATTTGGGTTGGTACTTTTAATCACGCTTTCGACAGTTCATACTTCAGAGTTGATTTTTTTTTTTTCCCACTTTAAAAAAAAAAGAAAACCTTGAGGAATTCAAATGCATCTGAATTTTGTCATGTTTGAACAGACATCAGGGATGTGGATTGTGAGTGCGGGAGCTGCAGGGAGAAGCCACTCTGATGGAATACCAATCAGAGTTCAGCACCGTCACCGACCGGCCGTGGTCGCTCCTTGTGGTGTATGGTCGCTCTGAAACCGCTCGTCATCACGTGCGGTTGTGTGGACGTTGGCCGCATTGAAGAAGAGCATTTAGCAGGAGCAAGTCTGCTCTTTTCATTATGACTCATCAGTTACCATGAACTGGAAACATCTATAGACACCAAACAATATTAGTCTGAATAGCAAGAAGCACTTTCAATGTGTTGTCTTCCAAACACATTTTCTCTGCCCACCACCAATTTGAATGAACTTTATTTGACCGTTTGTGTGAAGCACCAGTAGAAAATAAAGGCTTTTCAAATCTTTATACTGATAAAAATCTGAATGCATTTGCGCCGAGCTCCTCACTTTCATTGTAGTTCTTGGGGAAGTTATAAAGCCATGTGTGAATTTTTCTCCAAATTACAGTCATGCACAACTTTGTCCATCGGATAGAATCCGAATAAAAACACACCAAAGGAAAACACCTCCTCACATGCACTTCATGAAATAATATTCTACATGCGTTCATGCAGAGTGACAAAGAAATATGGAGAAACGGGTTTAAAGCAGTAAGGAAATAGGTTTGTTTGTTGGTCATCGTTCTAATTGGACAACGAAGAGTTTGGGGAGAATAGCTGACGGCCATCTTGCATTTAGAAGGTTGTAGGTTGGATTCCAGGTTTCCCCTGCCACACGTCAATGTGCCCTTTGGCAAGGCACTTAAGCCCCAACTGAATATGTGGGCGTTTGTGAATGTGGCTGTGGTGTAAATTCGGTCGACGAGACCAGAAAAGCGCCACATAAATTTAGTCCACTGACCATTTGCAACATGACTGAGTCGCGACTGAAATTAAGTTCACTTTGAAACTTGCCTCAGCAGCAAAATGGACGTTTGAGTTTCAATCGGTGCCTTAGAAACAAAACAACCTAAAACACGCAAACCTTGGTTCCAACCGCTTCGAATCCTGAAATGTGTTTTTATTTCGGTGTAGCAGGGAAATCTAACAATTGGTACTTATTCCATACAGTAGAGATTTTGTGTCTGTATTAGAAGCAACGAGGGAAAAAGAAGAAAAGAAGGTGGGAGTGCACTACTTATGGCATATGGCTTTTTGGGTGTTATTTACAACCGTGTTGTAAATAACTTCACTGCTTCACTTTCTGACCTGAACTACTCAATCTGTTGAATCTGTTGAAAATATTGGCACACACAAACCTGCAGGTAGTGGAATGACCTCTCCTTCAGCTTGTTCTCCAAGGGCACCAGTGCTTTATCGTAACCTCCTCCCCTGGCGGAAGGATACACCTCCCTGGCCTGACTCACTGTCATGGCCGACCAGGTGCTCCGCTTCAGCGAGTGACCATGGTGGCCGTGGTGGCCGCCGCCCTCGCCGCCGGTCAGAGCCATGGTGGTGCAGGCCATGCACTCGGCGGATCCAGGTCCTCCGCTGCGCTCCTTCGGTTTCTTCATGGTGAGCTCCTGAATGGCGGCGTCCAGACTCTCGTGTCCAGCGGGGTAACCCCGCCTGCCCCCGCTGACCAAGAAGCTGCTGTCGCTGTCCAGGTTGTCGTCGGAGCTCCACCAGCCGGCCGTCCGGCTGCGGTGACGTCGCCCCGACTCGTGCCGAGAGTCGCCGCTTTTGCTGCGCTCTCGCGACTTGCTCCTCCTGGTCGAGCGAGACTGGTGGCCTGAGTAGTGAACCTCCTCCCCTCCGCTCCTGTGGCCCCCTCCTCTCTCGCCCCGGTACTCCCCGCCGCCCCTCATGCCGTTGTACTCCCTTTTGGTGGGCGCTTCAAGGGAGTGGGACTTGGCGAAAAGCCGCTGGACGGAGTTGACCAAGTGGCGAATGCGAGAGGGGCTCTCGCTGCGGTTCTCGGCCCCTCCGCTCGCCGTGCGTTGGTACTGCAGGGTGTGGAAGCCGTCCGGGTGGAAGGGAACCTGTTTCTCAAACTGGTCCATTAGGTTCGGAGGAATCCGATGCATCTTTCCCCCGTGGCCCGAAGACAGGCACTCCTCGCAGGAGTCGAACGACTGGAGAGGCGGGTGCTGGCTGGGGTGGGAGCGGGGGAAGGTGCCAGAGTGGCTATGGGAGTGCGAGTGTGCGTGCGGGTGAGAGTGGGAGTGATGCCTCTCCAGGGCCAGAGCCTCAGTCGGACCACCCGAGTAGTAGTGCCCATCGCTACGGCCGTGGTAGTAGTCCCTGCCTGGGCCATCGCAGTCGTCCGGCGTGCAGTGGCAGGGGCCTCCTCCAGAGGAATGCTGAGACATGCTGCGGCTGACATGGTACCCTTTCATAGGCGCCGGGGCGTGGTGGGCCGCCCGGGCCGAAAGGGGTCGCTGTGGGCGTGACAGGGCTGCACCGGTCTCACCTGGAAGCAGAAGGACAAATACTAATAAGGCCTTGAAATCGCATTGGGTGTGTGGCTGTGTTAGCAAGTCGACAATCCGAAGGCCAAAAAGCTGATACACACTTGTTCAGTCAGGATTCTGGGGCTGGGCCCAAACCCAGGATCCCAGCAGAACCTTTTCTTGTGTGGATTCTGAGAACCACTCTGTTTTAGGTGCACAAGGTGACGCAGGAGTAGTGACTACACAAACCTATGTCCTGCTTCAATGGCATTATAATCAGACGCCTAATAGATCATTGGTCCCAGTTTGCTTCTGGAACTGCCCTGCACCATTGAGGCCTGGACTCCATTTGACCCCTGAAGGTGTGCTCTACTATGTAACTTAGAAGGACTCCTTTCAATATGTTGATATTGATAAGAAAAAAGACAAAAAAATAAAAATAACCAAAGAGCCGATCGAACCTACGTGTGTTCCTCCATGGCGCAACCTGCAGGTCATTGTCATATGAACAGCTTCTCTTTCAGCCAGGCTTCCGCAGCAGTAATAGGTGATATTTTAAACCAGCAACATTAAGTGTCTGGCTTATTTGCTCCCATTAATAGGTTTGTGTTTTGATCGTTTCTGCCTGACGAGTCAAACAGCCTTGGATCAGAAAGACGCCGAGGGAACAGTTTCCTATTTTTCTGTTGTTTCCACGGTGACAAACCCTTGATCTAAAAACAAATAGTTTCTTTTTTTAATTTATTTATTTTTTTATTTTGCTCAGACGCAGGACAAAAACCCCTGACAATCACAACACCTTACCGACCCGGATGAATCCTAAGAAGCAACTGATCTACGGAAGCATGTCATCGTAGAGACGGAAACCTTTCATTTTTATAAAAAATAAATAAATAATTTGTCGCACGTGTACGAATTACAATTGCACTCGTTGCAGGAGAGTGCAGAAATAATTCTCTCTTTCGCTGAGTCAGCGCAACGGCCAGAGATAGAAGAATAATGCTTTGTTCCAGATCAACATGTTTTGCCGTGTTTTATTCAACTCGGAGCAGACGATGCCGGGGCAAACATTCATCCATCAGACAATAATAGGTGATTACCAACAGCTTCATCCTTCACATTCATCTGAAAGACCACTGCGCTGAAAAATCAAGGAAATAGCCTCTTTTAAACTCTCTTGGTGCCTCTCTTGTGTTGTGGCGTTATTTCCCTGTTTAGCACCTCTGCCCCCTTTCTGCTATTTCTCATTAGTCGCGTCATGGCCGTCCTTGTTGCCTGTCTACTCCGTCCCGCCCTTTAGGGAATTTACAGGCGTTGTTGGGATTTGCAGCAAAGGGTGTGTTTATTGATCAGCTTGCGTCCAAAATGCAGAGAGAAAGAGAGTCAGAAAGAAGGCCTTCACTTTTGCTTCATTCCCAAATTGTGACGTTTTCGATGGGCAGCACACAGAACAGAGGGCACAAGCGACACAAACTTGGTTCCTCTCTATTTGTATTATTTACCAGAGAAATCAATTCCTTTCTTAAAAGAATTGCTTTTGAAAATGATGCATTTCTGCTTTTTGCTTTGGTTGCATCGGAAATGGAGCCAGACGACACATTTAACTTGCTGATTTTGGGCCACATGATAAAAAAATTTGATCTATGCTGCGTTATTATGACACGCATCCACAAGGTGGCAGTAATGTACCGAGTCGTTGGCTAGCAGTAAAGAAAACTGAGTAGATGGCCCATGCACAGATACAGACAGAACGTTTTGTGGACAGTCACCTAAAATGCATCTTAGTTTCCAGAGGGGCGACTTACAGCGTTGGTAATCGAAGAAAGGGGATTTTCTTTAAACAAAAGGGAACCAAACAATTGCTAAGGCTAGGCATCCTTACGGTGAAGACAGCTCTTCGTTACATTATGAACGTGAAGTTTCATCGACTATCGACAAGTGACAACTATTTATTACTTTTTTTTTTCTTAAGGTTTGACTGCGTTGCACTAGAATCTAAGCCCAACAAGCACAAACATTGCTCTTGGAAAACCACACCATTTGTTTTATGCTTCTTTAGGACAATCACGTCAAGGAGGGTGACTTATACCCCTAACATGCACAGGGTTTCTGCATTTCATCGAATGCAGAAACCCTGCATTGGGCCTCGGTTCACGAGACCCAAGTATTGCTACTTATAGATGGAGCTTTATTGATCAAACTGTGGATATAAATCGTGACAATAATCGCGACAATACGGGCAACAGGGGTTTTTAAACACCATTAATTGGGATTTATCCGGACAACGATGATAAATCAAACATTTATCGTGATCAGAGATGTAACGATACGATAAACGCCCACCACTGACTCAGACCTCTTGATTCATACCCACGCATCTGCAGCAATAAAAGGAGCAGAACGTTGACATACGGCCCAGTTACAATTAACACTTTGAGTAATAAGGACAAAACAGACGCGTATTGTGTGAAGTGTGACTGGATTTTTCACACTGTTGCTTGGTGGAGGAGCTGAAATATCTGAAAGGGAATTTTGATAATTAACAATTAATTTGAAAAGTTTTTTTTATTATTTTTTTTCCCCCCAGAAATATGAGTCACATTTTTCAGGTGACCAGAGGAGAAAAAAAAAAACCCAAACTAAAACCAGCCAGTCGATGTGCCGTTCTCAGCAGAGAAAGCAATCTTCTCAACAAAGCATATGCAGTAAATGGAATGAACACACCCTGCAGCAGGAACGTGCCTCAATGAAAGTCCCATTATCCACAAAGCCTGACTGCTGTAAGTAAAAAAGAAAGAAAAAGAAAAAAAAATGAAGTAAAAACTGGATAAAGAACATCTTTGGATTGCTATCTCTTGCTCATGGATAACAACCAAGATTACATCCTAAGTGTTGTAATCATGCTCTTTATTGAGCTTGCATTAAACGGTACCGTTGTAATCACACCCTCTATTAGCCAGCCCTGCACCGACTGCGTAATGAATCACAGTCGGTTCACGAGGCCCAAAAGCATTCGCCGTCATTTCTAAATGCGATCAGTTCGAGATGAAATTACGTGCCGAGAGCCAGAATCGAGCTGCTTAAGCTGGATGGTATTCGCCGGGCTCCTGCTCCGGTGTTTGCTGGCCTCACACAGACATGAGATGGAGGACAGATGCTGGGATAATCATTAAATAGAGCGTGGCCTGTTTGCCTTGATTGGGTGAATGAAAGCTGCCAGCGAAAAAAAGCGCACTCACATCGAGCTGTGACATCGGTGTAGCCGTGACGACGGCCCCTCTCAAAGTCAGATTTCCACCGTGAACCGATTTCAGACAGCCGTAGCCCCTGGGTGGACCGGGCTGCCGTTCATTAGGTGATTGCGAGCAATTTTGCAAAATGAAACCTTTTTTTTGTTGTTGTTGTTGAGAATTAGTAGAAACAAAATGGGGTTTTACTCAAACTATGTCTATCTTCCTACATTGTGAATTGCCACAATAAAAGATATTATTATATGGCAGGATACCATGTATATGCTGCAGAGTTATGGCTTTCTAAAAATCTCTCGCCATCTCCATTAAATACTTTGTTTGTGGGTTTTCTTCAATTTCTTTTTTCCCATACGGCTAAATCTTCAATATTTAACTGGAATATCAGATGGTGTCGGGCTGCTTCGTGTTTTTTTTTTTTGGATAATCTCTGTTATCAAAAGTACTGCAAATTCTTTTGAGTACATGCAATGCAGAGAATTACACTGTTTTCATTTAGACAGAACGAAGCCTCTTTACTGGACACGGAATTTGCAAATGTGATTGGTTTGCCACTTGTGATTGGACCACACTTAAGACGGCTTTAACATCATCATCGTGTCTGAATGAACTTAGATACGATAACTATAAAGTATAATTTAACCAAATGTGGATAATCACTTAGCAACTATTTTGACCTTCCTAGAATAAAGTTGTGTTTTTGCCAAAAGATGATTAAAATGAAAAATATATATATTTATACATACATTTGGCAAAAAATGACTTGGACCATTATTTTAGGAAGGTGGTATTATATGATTATCTTACAATTGTAAGACAATTTTGGCAAAGCAGCACTTTCAAAAACTTGGTCTTAAAGATACAGGAACCTAAACATGACACTGGTAACAAAGAATAACAATCAGTCTGGAATCAATGGAAACTAATTAAAGAATTTTTTTTTTTTTTCTCAATATTGAAAGACACATATTGAAATCTACACAAAGTACTACACTGCGTATATTAAATAAACATTTAATATGGGAATAAGAGTTTTATTTTAAAAATTAAATTATTGGATCAAGGAATCAGTGGGCGACTGAAATAGAGCCATTGGAAACTCAGCAAATACCAAACGCGATACCAAAGTAGTCAACACTCTTCTGTGTGGAAACTGGCACTGAAGGAAGAAGATTGAAAGTCAGATAATTTTAGTTTTATGAGGATTAATAGAGCTCCTTGCTCATCACATCCTTGTTTTAAAAACAGTTAAACTCCGTTTCACTCTCACACGGTGTCACATCACCACCGCTAATTTATGAACCACTAAAAGGGTCAAAATGCATTTTAGCGTTTCTAGACAATTAGGACACAGGAACCAGCCGATACTCACATCGGCTGCTCAGAGCTCGAACAGATTTCCACCAGGTGTTAGTAACATAACATTTGTCGTGAAGTAATGCTGCTCTTGCACTTTTGTTTTTCTTCCAAGAAGTCAGATGAAAAAAGGCTAAAATGAGAGATTCACAGTCTCAGCTATTAAAAATCAAAAGTTTCCATCCAAGCACAAACATCTTCAAACAGAAACAACAATTATTGTAAGTGGAGTGATTTAAGAGCATCAACAACAACAAACACGACACATTGCTATTATTACAAACCAACAGTATGCGTCTAACGTTTCGTTCCGAGGGCCGATATCAAATGGCATGTGGTGACAGATTGTCTGCAGTCACTTGTGTCAGTGTGTGTCCCTAATTCTGAACAGACAGCAAAGTGAGCGCCGCTCCTCT